ACAGCCAACATCATACTCAATGGGCAAAAACTAAAAGCATTTCCCTTAAGAACAGGAACAAGGCAAGGATGCCCACTTTCATCACTCTTATTTAACATAGTCCTGGAAGTCTTAGCCACAGCAATCAGACAGGAAGAAAAAATTAAAGGGATCCAAATTGGAAAGGAGGAAGTGAAACTGTCATTATTTGCAGATGACATGATACTATACGCAGAAAGATACAATCATCAAAACGGAAAGGCTACCCACTGTATGAGAGAGCATAATTGCCAATGATATATCAGATAAGAGGATAATTTTCAATATATATAGAGTGTTCATACAACTCAACAAAAGGAAGACAGAGAAGCCAATTAAAAAATGGACAGAGGAACTAAATAGACACCTCTCCGAACAGGACATACAAATGGCTAAGAAACATATGAAGAAATGCTCAACAGCACTAATCATCAGAGAGATGCAAATTAAAACAACAATGAGTAATCACCACACACCTGTCAGAATGGCCGCCATCAAAAAATCATCAAACAACAAGTGTTGGTGAGGGTGTGGAGAAAAGAGGACTGTTAAACTGCTGGTGGGAATGCAGTCTGATGCAGCCACTATGGAAAACAATATGGTGTTACCTCAAAAAGTTAAAAATTGAACTTCCATTTGACCCAGTGATCCCACTTCTAGGAATATACCCTAAGAAGCCTGAAACACCAATCAGAAAGAATATATGTACCCCCATGTTTGTAGCAGCGCTATTTACAATAGCTAAGATCTGGAAACAGTCCACTTGTCCATCAGTAGACGAATGGATAAAAAAGCAGTGGTACATATACACAATGGAGTACTATGCAGCTGTAAGACAGAAAGATCTCTTATCCTTTGAGGCGACATGGAGGGACCTGGAAAGTATTATCCTAAGCAAAACAAGACAAACAGAGAAAGACAAGTATCATATGATCTCACTTATTTGTGGAATATAGTGAACATAACACTCTGAAGAATGGAGTAGTTCCATAGACATGGAAGTGTAGTACAGACTGACAATCCCCAGAAGAGGATGTGGTTGGGGAGAGATAAACCACAGAACTTATATGCATGTATGCATGAACAATGGACATGGAGAACAAAGCTGGGGACAGGGCAGGGAGGGAGAGGGTGGGGGGAATCAGTGGGGGGTAAAAGGTGTAACATCTGTAACAAAAATAAATTAATTAAAAAAGATAAAAATAAATAAATCACACAATCAATGTGATTAGAAGATATCAGGTATATTTTAATGAACATATTTTTAATTTTTAATTTTAAGCTTCTTTTTATGATGTAAAGTCATGATGCATTTTAAAATTTATGTTGTCTTTCATCTTTCAATTTCTGGCAGGTTCTCCTTTTTTTTTTTTTTTTTTTGGTACGTGGTCCTAATGGGAACCGAACCCAGGACTCTCTGGTCCGCAGGCTGATGCTCCAACCGCTGAGCCAAACCAGCCAGGGCTCTCCTTTGATTTTATAATAAAATTTTGCTTATATTTCAGATGTTTATTTACTTCATAGAAGCAATAGTGCACAGGAAGATGGGTCTTTGTGAGAGCAAAGCTTGTAAGACCCACTCTGCATGAGGGCAGTGTCAAGAGGAGTCACAAGTGGTTGCCAAGACCACTTGTACCTGCAAGGTCCATGTTGATGTCAACCATGGCATGTTTCATAGAAAATGTAAGAAGGAGTCTGGCAGGTGTGGCTCACTGGTTGAGTGTTGACCCATGCACCAAGAGGTCACCAGTTTGATCCCTGGTCAGTGCACATGCCCCGGTTGTGGGCCCGATCCCCAGTGGGGGGCATGCAGGAAGGGGCCAATTGATCTTCTCTCTGCTAGATGTTTCTATCTCTCTCTCCCTCTCCCTTCCTCTCTCTCTAAAATCAAAAAGGGAAATGTAAGAACGAACTCTGGCCACCAGTGACTCTAATTTTTGTCATTCTTCTGCTGTGATTGTTGAAATTCTGTTCTTTTTAAAAACTGTTTTAAAATAAAAGATAAAAGTGAACAAGGATCTCATTCAGGTAAATAATAAAATGTACTCATTGCAATGATGAGATTATGGTGATAATTATCTATCCATTGATTCATCAGTCTCTTTAATGTCTGATTAGAGAAAGGAAGAGGCAAATATACCTCTTTTGTTTATGAAAATTTCTTGGTCTGTATTAAAAAACATTGGGAAGGAGACTATCATTTCCTTTCTTATCCTTGTCTCTATAAAGAAGTGATGGTTCAGAGTCTGACATCGGTTAGACCACGATTTATTAGAGGTGTAAAAGACTTTATTAGGTGCCAATTTTTATTTAAAGCACAGCACTTCAATCCTCTCTTATACTTATTCTTCTTGCTTCATGGATTAATAGGAATCCAGACCTTACTTCTCCATTTCAGAGTCACATGCTCTCTGTTCATTCTTTTCTCACACAGGAATAAGCACAGACTGTTTCTCAAGTTGGAGCTAGGCAGTCAAGGCTAGATAGAAACTAAGCATGAGAAACAGAGCATTTAGCTCCCTGTCCACTGCCAAGCCTGAGTGAGAGTCAAACACACAGCTTTATCCCAAGGCCATGTAAACAGTCATGAATTTGTTCTGAAGACCTAGTTATCTTCCTTTCTTTTTTTACAGACAAAGCAGAGGGTGCAGAGAGGGAAAATATAATGGTAGATACATTTATAAGTAAGTAAATAAATAAATATAAAATGAACAAATAGCATAGCCTTTGTCTTAAATCATATTCTCCAATATATTTGGTTACTAAACTTTTCCCTGTATATTCAGAAGTGAAAGAAGGAAAAATGGATGACAATATCACAAAAATATTAGCAGGCATCATTACAAAGTACTTATTTCATTCTTGCACCATAATATGCCCTTTAGATACTTTGTCTTAGTTAATCTACTCAACATCTCTATAAATTGGTCTCTGTGGTTACCCTTACTTATTGGAGAAGGTTAAAGAATTGACTTTGATCTGACAGGAGGCAAATGGCACACTCAGATGTCAAACCACAGTCATTCTGATTCTAGAACTTCAGTTCTCACACTATGTTGAACACAGGCCAGTGCCTGGGCTCAGTGACTCTAAGAAAGCAGCTGCTAAGTGAAGATCATAGAAGTTTCCACTGTGATTCTAAAGGCACGAGTGCTGTTCCTGCTGGTGCTTCTTTGCTTGCATGTGGAGCCATAGACACCAGCACAGATCTGAGAATGTTTGCTTTTGATTGTGAACATCATCTCCATGGGTGGATTGTGGGTGCGGACAGTGAGATGGTAGATAACAGACATGACTAGGGCACAGGTGTCTTTTCAGATTGGTCAGGAGGCATCACAGGCACAAAGAAGTCCTGACGAGAAGAGACAGGTAACAGACTGCTGCCTTATATCCCAGCCAGCAGGACTCCTCCTGTCCTGACTTTGGGTCCTGGCAGCCCAGACTGTGGTTTCCCTGGATACAAGAGCTTCCCTGCCTAGAAGGATTGAATCATCAAGTGTATCTGAATTTGTTCAGACCAACGTAAAAGGACAAATGCTCCCTGAAAAATAGGAGAGGTTCTATTTTTAAGAAAGTGAGCACAAATAGACTTTAAAATATTATACATGGCCAGATTTTCTCTAGTTTCTTGCTATTTTATAGTTATCTTACATTCAATCTTAGAAAAACTGTAGTAGAAGTAGATGTTATCGAAACACCTTTTTTGACTATAAAATGAGTATTTGAAACAGATCTTGTTTAATAAATTTGTTTATGATATTGCTTTCTACATATCAGAAATTACCTGAAAATATCAACACATTATATTTATTTCTCTTTCTAGAGGATGAATGCAAATATGGAACTCAAAGAGTATTATCACTGCTATTTTCAGGTTATCAAATGGGAACTTTTCATTTTTCCTACACCTAGAACAATGTCTTGAATATATAATTTTGAGTATTCTTTGAAGTGAGGTTGCCTTCTCCGACTTCTGAATAAACTAAGCAATGTTAAGAGTGAACCAGTTATCATTTTTACCATGCTAACTTAAGTACCTATTAAGTAATTCTATGTCTTTTAATTTTTTATTAATTAAATTTATTGGGTCACATTGGTTAATAGGGTCATATAGGTTTTAAGTGTACATTACTATGATATATGATCTGTATATTGCATTGTGTACCCACTACCCATAGTCAAATCATCTTCTGTCACAATATATTTGGCCCTCTTTACCCTCTACCCACCTTCCCTCCAGTAACCACCATACTATTGTGTGTCTGTGTCTCTGAGTTTCAGTTTTGTATCCCACATATGAGTGAAATCATATGGTTCTTAGCTTTTTCTGAGTGACATTTCAATTTAGTGTAATATTCTCAAGGTTTATCCATGTTGTCGCTAATGGCAGTATTTATCTTTTTTATGGCTGCGTAGTATTTCATTGTTTATATCTACCAATCTTTATCTAATCCTCTATTGAAGGACATTTTGGTTGTTTCCATGTTTCTGCTGCTGCGAATCATGCTGCAATGAACATAAGACTGCATATATCTTTGCCAATAAATGTTTTTGAGTTTTTCAGGTAGAAAATCAGAAGAGGGATTGTTGGGTCATATGGTAACTCGGTTTTTAGTTTTTTTTTGAGAAACCGCCATACTGTTTGTACCAGTTTATATTCCCACCAGAAGTCAATGAGGGTTCCTTTTTCTCCACAGTACAGTGATACCTCGGTTCTCGAACATAATTCGTTCCAGGAGGACGGTCGAGAACCAAATTGTTCGAGAACCGAAGCAATGAAACCCAATAGGAAATAATGGAAACTGGATTAATTCGTTCCAAGCCCCAGAAAATGCCTATTTACTGGCCTAATTTGTATATAATATGTAGAAAAACATAAGTCTCAACAAGAAATAAAAGTGTACAGTATGTATTAAAAAAATAAAATAAAATGTACTGTAAAGTACAGTAAATTGTTTCATTTACTGTACCTGTACCAACCTTTATTGTCTTGAAGGGGAGTCCTCTTCAATAAAAACAGAGGGTAACTGCTCTTCAGGTGTTTCTGTTCTCTGTATCTTTTGCTGAGGAGAATCAGAATCTTTCTCTGCAGTTACTTGTCTGATTTCTTTACGGAAGAATTTTTCAATTGTTTGCTGTTTTTTTCTCCTTTCAGAAATTTTGCGGAAAGTGGACATAACATTGTCATTAAAAATGTTAACTGCTCTATTTGCTACCTCTTTATCAGGGTGATGTTGTTCAACAAAGTTTGCGATTTCTGCCCATTTTGCACACATTTCATGAATAAGGCCACTAGAAATATCCTCCACTCTCTCCTCTTCTTCAGAAGAAATTTCTTCCACCATATCCTTCTGCTGCTGTTGTTGTAGGTGCATCAGTTCCTCGGCGGTTAACTCAGCAGCGTGACCTTCCACAAGTTCGTTGATGTCATCTTGTTGAATGTCAAGGCCCATGGTCTTTCCTATGGCCACAATATCATCAACTACAGCAACATCTTCATCAACGACAGGAGCTGACTCAGCTTCTAAACCCTCACTGTCCCTTTCGGGCCATAGTTTTCGCCATGCCGCATACAATGTGCGATGAGTGACATTACTCCAAGCAGTGTCAATCAAGTTTACACAATTTAGGATGTTGAAGTGTTCTTTCCAAAATTCCCTCAGAGTTAACTGTGTGTCATTCGTCACTTCAAAGCACTTCCGGAAGAGGGCCTTTGTGTACAATTTCTTGAAATTGGATATGACCTGTTGGTCCATGGGTTGCAGAATAGGGGTTGTATTGGGGGGTAAGAATTTTACTTTGATGAAGCTATAGTCATCAACTAGATCTTCCTCTAAAGCTGGGGGGTGAGCAGGAGCATTGTCCATCACTAATAGACATTTTAAAGGCAATTTTTTTTCTGCCAGGTATTCCTTCACTCGAGGTGCAAAAACTTCACGCACCCACTCTGTAAAGAATTGTCTGGTAACCCAAGCTTTGGTGTTAGACCGCCACATCACAGCCAATTTACTCTTCATTACATTGTGCCTTTTGAATGGCCTGGGATTGTCTGAATGGTAGACAAGCAAGGGTTTTACCTTGCAATCACCACTTGCATTTGCACAAAGCAAAAGAGTAAGCCTATCTTTCATAGGCTTGTGCCCTGGTAGCACTTTCTCCTCTTTGGTTATGTAGGTGTTGGCTGGCATTTTTTTCCAGAATAATCCGGTCTCATCGCAGTTGAACACCTGCTCAGGAGCAAACCCTTCTGCCTTGACATAGTCACTAAATTCTTTAATGAAGTTATTAGCAGCCTCCTGGTTTGCACTAGCTGCTTCCCCATGCCTAGTGACGCAATGTATGCCACTTCTATGTCTGAAATTCTCAAACCAACCTCTGCTGGCTTTAAACGTGAAAGCACCTTCACCACTTGTACCAGGTGTTTCTTTGTTCAGATCACTGAATATTTGTAGTGCTTTCTCACAAATAACGACCTCATTGATGCTGTCACCTGCTAACTCTTTTTCTTTAATGAAAATAAAGAGCAGCTTCTCCATTTCCTCCATTATCTGAGGCCTTTGCTTAGTTATCAGCGTTACACCTTTGGCAACATTGGCAGCCTTTATAACAGCTTTATTCTTAAGGAAAGTAGAGATGGTTGATTTTGGCACGCCATACTCAGCAGACAGATCCGAAACACGTGTGCCCTGTTCATATTTGGCAATGATTTCTTTCTTCAGCTCAATAGTTGTTCTCACAGCTTTCCGCTTACCTTTGTCTGCATTACCACTTCTGGCTTTCTTTGGACCCATGTCTAAGGGTTAAATTCAGTGTAAAGCGTGACTCTCTCCACAAAGCGTGACTCTCTCTCTCTGCACTCACACTGATGACGCAAGCAAGGCGCGCTGGGCCGAATGAACGCCATTCGGCTCAACTCGGCTCATCTCGGAAGTTCGAGTTCCAAATATTTGTTCGGATGCCAAGACAAAAGTTTCTCGAATCTCCTGGTCGAATACCGATTTGGTCGAAAACCGAGGCGTTCGAGAACCGAGGTATCACTGTATCTCCAAAACTTATTACCTATCTTGTTGATAATAGCCATTCTATCAGGTATGAGGTGATATCTCATTGTAGTTTTCATTTGCATTTCCCTAATAGCTGGTGAAGTTGAGCATCTTTTTGTATAAGTGATGGCCATTTGTATGTCTTCTTAGGATAGGTGTCTGTTCATGTCCTCTGCCCATTTTTACTTGGATTGTTTATTTGTTTGGTGTTGAGTTGTATGAGTTCTTTACGTATATTCGATACTAACCCCTTGTCTGAGATGTGCTTGCAAATAATATCTCCCATTCAGTTGGTAACTTTCTTGTTTTGTTGTCAGTTTCTTTTGCTGTGCAGAAGCTTTTTAGTTTGATATAGTTCCATTAATGTATTTTTGCCTTTACTGCCTTACCTTTGGGGTAAAATTTATAAAATATTCTCTACAACCAAGGTCCATAAGTTTAGTACCTTTGTTTTTTTCTAAGTACTTTATTGTTTCAGATCTGATATTTGATCTGTGATCCATTTTTAATTAATTGTTGTACAAGGGGACAGACTGCAATCTAGTTTCATTATTTTGCATGTGACTTTCCAAGTCTCTCAGCACCATTTACTGGTGAGACTTTCTTTTATCTATTGTGTGCTTTTCGCTCCTTCGTCAAAAGTCATTTGTTCATATACCTATGGTTTTATTTCTGGGCTCTCAATTCAGTTCCATTTGTCTGTGTGTCTGTTCTTTGGTCAACACCATGCTCTTTTGATTATTGTAGTTTTGTAGTATAATTTAAAGGCAGGTAGTATGATCCCTCCAGCTTCATTCTTTTTTTCTCAGAATTGCTTTGGCTATTCGGGATCTTTTGTGGTTCCATGCAAATCTGGGGTTTTTTTTTAATTTTCATTTACTTTTTAATGACATTGGGATTGTAATGGGGACAGATTAAATCTGTATGTTGCTTGGGGTAAAATGGCCATTTTAACTATGTTGATTCTTCCAATCCATAAACATGGAATACCTTTAGATTTATTTCCTTGTGTCCTTTTCCATCTCTTTTAACAATATGTTGTAGTTTTCAGTATATCGGTCCTTCATATCCTTTTTTACATTTATTTGTTTTGTTTTGTTTGTTTTGTTTTTGGTTGCAATTGCAAAAGGAATTTTTTTTTATGTCTTTTTCTGAAGTTTCATTGTTAATGTGTAGGAAAGCAATGGATTTTTGTACATTGAATTTTGTATCCTGCAATTTTACTGTATTTGTTTATTGTTTCTAATAGTTTTTCAGTGGAATCTTTAGGGTTTTCTGTAGACAGAATCATGCCATCTGCAAAGTGATACCTTTATTTTTTTCTTCCCAATTTGGATGACTTTTATTTATTTCTCTTGCCTGATTGCTCTGGCTAGGATTTCCAGAACTATGTTGAAATAAGAGTAGAGAGAGTGGGCATCTTTGTCTTGTTTCTAATTTTAGAGAAAAAGATTTCTATTTTTCACCATTGAGTATGATATTAGGTAAGGGTTTGTCATATATGGCCTTTATTATGTTGAGGTACTTTCTTTCTATATCCATTTTATGGAGTGTTTTGATGAAAAATGGATGCTGTATCTTATCAAATACCTTTTCTGCATCTATTGTTAAGATTATATTATTGTTACCCTTTGTTTTGTTGATGTGGTGTATTCTACTGTTTGATTTCCGTATGTTGAACCATCCTTTTGCCTCTGGAGTAAATTCCACCTAATCGTGATATGTTGTTATTATTATTATTTTAATGTATTGCTGATTTTGATTTGCTAGTATTTGGTTTTTATTTTTACATTTGCATTCATCATAGATATTGGTAGCTTTGTTTGTTTGTTAGTGTTACCCTTGCCAAGTTTTGGTATCAGGGTAATGTTAACCTCACAAAAAGTATTAGGCAGCATTGCTTCTACTTCAATTTTTTGGAAGAGTTTAAGAAGAATAGATATCAAATCTTTTTTGAATGTGTGGTAGAAATCACTAGTGAAGTTATCTGGTCTTGTATTTTTAATTTTTGGAGGTTTTTGATGGGTGTTTCAATTTCCTCACTGTTTATTGGTCTATTAAGATTTTTCATTTCTTTATGGTTCATTCTTAGAAGGTTATATATTTCTAGAAACTTACTATTTCTTCTAGGTTATGGAATTTGGTGTCATATAGTCTTTTATAGTATTCTAGTATGATCCTCTGTATATCTATAATGTCTGTAGTAACTACTCTGCTTTCATTTTTTATTTTGTTTATATGAGCCTTTTCTCTTTTTACCTTAGTGAGTCTGGCCAGAGTTATTCCAATTTCACTAATTGCTTTAAAAAATCAGCTCTTTGTTGTATTAATTTTTGTAGGTTTTTTTTTTCTCTATTTCATTCAATTCTGCTCTAATTTTTTTTAAACAAACCCACCATTTTATTTTATATTTTTTATTTTATTTTATTTATTTATTTTATTTTATTTTATTATTTTATTTTATTGGTATGTGCCCCTAGTGGGAACCGACCCCAGCACTCTCTGGTCCTCAGGCCGATGCTCCAACCGCTGAGCCAAACTGGCCAGCGCTGCTCTAATTTTTTTTTTTATTTTTCCTCACCCGAGGATATTTTTCCATTTTTTGTACAGATAGAGTGGGAGGGAGAGAGAGGAAGGGAGAGAGAGAGAGAAACATCGATGTGAAGGGACACATCGAGTGGCTGCCACCCGCACGACCAACCAGGGCCGGGGACAAACTGTAACCGAAGTACGTGCCCTTAGCGGGAACCGAACCCGGGTCTCTCTGGACTGCAGGCCGACGCTCTAACCGCTGAGGGAAACTGGCCAGGGCCGCTGCTCTAATTTTTATTGTTTCCTTTCTGCTTCTGACTTTGGGTTGCTTTTGTTCTGTTTCTAATTCTTCTTCTTTTTTAAAATATTTTTTTCTTGCCCTGGCCGGTTTGGCTCAGCAGTTAGAGCGTCAGCCCATGGACCAGAGAAACCTGGGTTCGGTTCTCATAAGGGCACGTAACTTGGTTGCAGTTTGTCCCCGGCTCCGGTTAGGGATGTGTGCGTGGCAACCATTCGATGTGTCTCTCTCATGTCAATGTTTTTTTTCTCTCTCTCTTCCTCCCTCTCTCCCTCCACTCTATCTGAAGATAAATGCAAAATGTCCTCAGGTAAGGATTAAAAAATAAATAAATAAAAATAAAATATTTTTTGCTTTATTGATTTTACAGAGAGAGGAAGGGAAAGGGAGAGAGAGAGAAAAATTGATGAGAGAGAACAATGATCTGCCACCTCCTGTAAGTCCTCCACTGGGGATCTGGGCCACAACCTGGGCATGTGCCCTGACCAGGAATTGAACTGGCAACCTTTTGGTGCACAGGTCAATGCTCAACCAGTGAGCCATACCTGCTGGACTTTTTCTAATTCTTTAAGATGTAATGTTAGGTTGTTAACCTAGGCTTTCTCTTGTTTCTTGAAATAGAGCTGTAATGATATAAATTTCCCTCTTATTACCACTTTTGATGCATTTCAGAATTTTTGATATGCCATACTGTCATTCACATTTGTTTCTATATATCTTTTGATCTCACCTTTTATTTCTAATTTGACCCAATCATTTTTTAGTAGTATGTTGGTTAATCTTCACATATTTGTGGGTTTCTTAATCCCTTTTTATTGCTGATTTCTAGTTTCAAAGCATTGTGGTTCGATAATATGCTTGGTATAATTTCAATCTTCTTAAATTTAAGACTAGTTTGGTGACAACATATGGTGTATCCTTGAAAATGTTCTATGTGCACTGGAGAAAAATGTATAATCTGATGTTCTGGGATGAAAGGCTGTGTAGATGTCAATTATATTCATTTTGTCTAATGTATCATTTAAGGCCGATATTTTTTTGTTGGTTTTCTGTTTGTATGATCTGTTTAAAGCTGTCAGTGGAGTACTAAGTTTCCCAATTATGATTGTGTTTTGGTCTGTTTCTCCCTTTATTTCTGTTAGCTGCTTTACATATATTAAGAAGTATTGTCTTCTTGGTACAGTGTTTCTTTTATCATTATACAATGTGCATCTTTATCTGTTACCATTGTTATCTTGAAAACTATTTTGTCTAATATAACAATGTCTGCGCTTGCTTTTCTGTAGATGTCATTTGCTTGGAAAATAATTTTCACCATTTCATTTTGAGTCTACCTTTGTTTTTGCAGATTAGATGTAGCTCCTGAAGGCAGCATAGGATTGCTTTTTTGTTTGTTTGTTTGTTTATTTTAACCCATTTTGCTACTCTGTGCCTCTCTACTGGTGAATCCAGTCTATTTAAAATTGGGGTAATTACTAATGTATGAGGATTTCCTATAGCCATTTATCTTTTGTTTCCTGGTAGCCCTGTGCCTCCAGTGGTCCTCTACCTTTGTTATTGATTTTGTTGGATGGTGTTTTGTACTTCTTTCCTCTGTTACCTCTTTTTCTATGTCAAGTGTCTCTGTTTTGGGTTTGATGTGTGTGGTTATCATTAAATTTATGAAAAAGAAAGTTCCATAGATACTGTAGTCCATCTTCTGTTGCATGCATATGGCCTCAGTACTCCTTTGCAAATTTAGACCTGTTCACCCTCCCTTTTAGGTTTTGGTTGTCACAAATTAGCTGTTTGTGCTGTAAGTTTTTTGGTGATCTTACTCACAGAATTGTGACCTTCTGTTTTATGTTTCAGGTAGGATAACTTCTTTGATTATTTCCTGCAATGAAGGTCTTCTGGTGATTAATTCGCTCAGCTTCTGTATGTCTGGAAAAGTCTTTATTTCTACCTTCATATTTAAAGCATGACTTTGCTGGATATATTATTCTTGGCTGGTAATGTATTCCTCTCAGTATTTTGAAGATTTGATTTCACTCTTTTCTTGCTTGTAGAGTTTCTGAAGAGAAGTTCAATCATAATCTAATGGGTTTTCCTTTACAGGTTACTTTCTTTTTTGCTTTAGATGCTTTGAGAATTTTTTCTTTGTCATTAATTTTTGACACTTTCAATACAATGTGCCTTGGAGAGGACCTCTTTAGGTTGAGGTAATTA